CTTTCCCTCCAGCTCTGTAAATAAGTTCAATTTAAATACATTTTTAAACTCTTGAGTTCCAAAGCAGTGAATCTCTGTAGCTTCATCTGTAGGAGATTCGGGGCTACTGACAGCTCTCAGGTTCAACCCGGGGCATTCATGCACCAACCATCTTGGGTTGTGTTCTCTTTCAGATTAAGTGGAGGAAGCTGTCAGAGACTCACGTAGTCTTTAAAACACATACACGAACATTTCCTAGAAGAGCAGAGACGCTTATGTGCCCAGAGTAGTCACGACACCTACTGGTTTGGCTTCTGAATGGAGAAATATTCTCCTATACTAGCAGCACAAGGAGGGAGAGGAAAGAATTTGGCACCAAGTCAAGCACGTATGTGAGACCCATCCACAACATCCAGGCTTTGTCCTTGGAGGAAACAATAGCATTACTGAATGAAAGACTTTACATGGAGATAACACACACGCTTCAACTTTAACTATACCTTTTGGGGGGGCTGCTTCTTCACAGAGGTGATTTCTGTTCCCTGCAGTCTCTGTTTCAAAGAGCTGAAGGGCTTGCGCTTCTTATTGAAGACTTTCTTGCATATTGGATCATGTCTCAGCTGGGATGCAAAGAAAAACAGTCATTTATGGGTTGAAGTCATGCTTGGTTAATGATGCTTCCTTAGTCTTTAAAATTACTTCTATTCAGGAGCAGGGACCTGAAGCAGTATTTATTTCGGGTTCAGCTTAACTCCTGAAGGAGTTCAGCAAAACTTTAAAAAGCTGTCCAAGTACAGCTGCAGTTTGACACAAACAAGAAATAGAAGCCATTTTCAGTTTGTTCTTTTCAGGGAAATGCTGGAGGCCAGCACAAATAATGACTTACAGAGAAGAATTCTTCACTATGAGGGTGGTGAGGCAGTGGAACGGGTTGCCCAGAGAAGCTGTGGATGCCCCATCCCTGGAAGTGTTCCAGGCCAGGTTGGATGGTGCTTTGAGCAACCTGGTCTAGTGGAAGGTGTCCCTGCCCATGTTGGGGGTGGGAACTAGATGATCTTTAAGGTCCCTTCCAACTCAAACTATTCTATGATTCTAAGAACAGACTGGGTCTGTGAACAGGAACAGTCCTGTTGGACACACATCACACCACCCCCCCGCCACTTGCTTTTCTTTCTTCCTTGGTTAAGAGGGAGAACAGACTGATCCCGTTCAAGGGGCTGATATTTACATCATTAGTTCTTTGAGTTTCGGTAAGAGTTCCAGACTGGGGGCTCCCCTGGCAAACAGCAGCACTGTCCATCCCATCAGCACCACTGAAACAGCGACAGCCCCAGGCTGAAAAAGCTGCAGACCAGCACAGGTAACCTGAAGTTTTCAGAAGGAAAACTAGGGATAACAGGGAAAGCACAAGGAAATTTTAGGTAGGTAGGTAGACATCCAGTGCCAAATTTGTGGAAGAGCCGTGCCTCACAGCCAAGGAGGATTTAAGGTTCAGAAGTGTCTCAGATTTTAGCATCAACCTCAGTCTTCTGCAACAGGATGGGCAATCCCCTTTGTGAGGAGCACCGTGAAAGTGAGGACCGAACTATGTCCTCTCTTGTGTGCTGAGGATCACACCTATTTGAGCCTAGCTGCAGCTGGTATTAAAGACCCCATTCCTATCTACCTTTGCTTGCTCCCGCTTTCTAGTTCTCAGTTATTCTTCTTGCTCTTCTCATTAATTTCTCTATGCCATCCACTCTCTTCCCATATGAGTTAAGCAGCTGCCTGAGCAAGGCATTTTGGTTACAGCTCAGCTGGGCCAAAAAAGCACCTCACTCTACTATAACACACATTTCTAAATTCTCATTTCCCTTTGAACCTTTCTACTCATCTGCTTCAGGTCCTTGCCTTCTGTTTCTAGACATTTTTGACAGCAAACTTGAGAGGAGGATTCCTCTGCAGGACCAAGAGGGCAGGAGACACCTGTGTCTTGCTCACTGAGGAGCACACCAGTCCTGCATCACCAGGGCATGGACAGGCATTACAGGACTTGTCACTACGACTAGCATGAGATAGATACAAGAAATTTCCCGCCTCCCCAAAAAACACAGGTATCTGTCTTTTCAAATGATTTCCTAGATTAAACCATCATGTTCTTCATGTATCTGATCCAAGATATCAAACGTGGAACTACTGACACAGGGTAGTTCCACCTTCGTCTCAGCGCTCACAGTTGCTCAGCCTCCAGTGTATTTTTCTTGCCTATTTTTTTGTAAACTACTTTTAAGTTGCATGTGTGTGTTATATATATATTCAGTGGGGCTGATCTGATCTACCACCGAGCCACAGGATCAGTAATGCAAACTGAGGAGGGGAGGGGTGCATGCAGAGCCACCCCCCTTGCAGAAAAAGCCCGCAGTTGGGTTGTGCAACGCAAACTGTGCAGCCACCCATTTAGTTTGTAATGCAGGGATCAGGGAGGTCAGGGGGAATCTTTTCATTCACTTCAGCAGGCTTTGGAACAGAGCCTGGTGCCCACATTATGCTGTCAAAGGGACTACTTATCAGATGGTTGGTTAGTCTATTTTTCCCAGGAAGCCTGAAATAACAAATTCTGCCTAGAAACCTGGAACACAAAGGAAGCTTCAGGTTAGTAATTTATGTCTCACCAAGGGATAATATGTTATTTTAAATGCCATATATAGTAAACATCTGCTTTTGGACAAGCAAGTAAATTAAGACAGTGCAAGACTGCAGATTAAGTCACAGTATTTCTGTGCACATTCACAGTATTTCTGTGCACATTCATTTATTCTCTAATCAAAGTTCACTAATGAAAGCAGTTGTTAGATCATTTGCCCTTTTAAATATGCGTTCAACCCATTTCTCTGCTAGCGGCCACCTCCTCCTTCCCCAGTGCTCGCCACCCCTTTCAGCTAAACGCGCTGACATTCCCATTAACAAAAAAAAAAAGGTTTCATTTTACCAGAACATCTTGTGCAAAATGTCTTCCACAGGTCGTACAAGGAGCCAGATCTTGACTTCGGGCAGCTGTGTAGAATTCAAACCACACAAGAGTCTCAGTTAGACAGTGCAGGATGGCTTGACTACAGCAGAGTCAGCGTTTGGACTGAGCCCTTGCTGAAACAGTATTTCGTTGTCAGACAGGGACATCTGCAGTCATGTGCCAGGGCTCCCTGTTGCAGAACTGCCTCGCTTGTCTTGTTCCTATGCCGCACAAGCTCTCCTTTGCTACGATGGACAGCTTTTTGTTTTCTGCACGACTGCTCAGGTATGTCCTTTCACAATGACCTCAGGGCTGGGCGAGGAGACAGCGGACGAGAACTTGAGTTCATCGCTGCCTAAATTCAGGGAGGGGGGCTGGGAAGGAAGAGCAGGTGAGCTGCACCCAGATTTATTCCATTTTGTTTATAAGTCGTCAGGAGCCAGTGATGCCCAGTAAGTAGCAGGTGTCACAATAAGTGGGACACGATCTTCCTTCTCAAGACAGAACGTTTCCATGACGTGCTGAACAGCATTCCAACATCTGACTTTGTAGATGTCAAATTTGTGGGGATTTTTTTGTTTTTAAATCATTCTTTTTTTGGCAAAAGAGGTTTTTAAGTTACATAGAAAGTAGTTCTAAGCCTTTCTGACTCCAATGGCAGTCACATATTCTCATTTCAGAGCAGGAACATTACTTGTATTAAACAAACACAGCTTTTAGGAAAACTTGAACAATACCAAAGGGCCTTTTTCATGAGACTTGGGACCTACAGAGGACAAGACTTCTCATTTAAGTGTTCCTTACCTGCTCTTGCTGAAACAAAAGAAATCCTTGTCTTGCTGAACAGATGAGAGTGCTTTTGCTTCTTACCTTTCCCAATAGATTTTACCACGCTCCAAGGCACAGAGTTAAGGTTACTGCAGTGTTTTGTTGATTACAAGAGTAGAACAAAGCAGTTCTCTAATCTTCTTGACTCTTACTCTATTGCCTCTGTTTAAATGTGTTTCCATTTTTGTTCCCAAGCAACATCTGTGTGTGCTTAGTCTGGACTATACTCTTTCTTTCAAGCGTCTTCCTCTGTCACCCCTACTAGTATTCTGTTCCCATCCCCTCAAGGTTTTGACTGACATAGCTTTTTTGGGGGGTGGTTTGTTTTTTGGTTTGTTTTTTTTTAAGGAATTTAGGTACAAGCACAGTATCACTGAATCAGCAATGAGAAGTCAGGAAAAAGGACCATTTGCCACAGCAGATTAGTTACTTTAAACACGTGCAACAGCAGATGAATTAAGGACTAGTAAAGAACTTGTGCACTGCCTTAAGTAAAGATCCTCCTTTTCAGTAAATCACAAAATCACATTCCACCCAGACCACTGAACAACATCTGTTACTCACTTGTTCCATTTAACTCCTTTCCTGGTATCCAACTCATCTCAACATAATGGTTTCTCAAATTTCCTCTTCCGTGTTGCTGTCACGAGGACTAGGTGGTCAGTCTTCATTACTCAAAAGCTCACACTTCAAGTTGCCGTGCATCAGCAGTTACATAATTAACAATTATGACACAGGCAGACCCTCCTTAAGCCTATGAAACATATGAAAACTAGTACAGATATCAGCTAAAAGAAAACCCTGAAACTTTTTCTAATCTTACAGATGACTTCTACTGATTTAAGACAGACTCATCAACAACTTTAGAAAATGAAGGCTTAATCTAGATGTGAATACTGTATTGACACCTCAGTTTTCTCAGCAGTGATCAAGAGACTTATAGACTTAAACACCTATTTATTCCCTTCTCCAAGACCATGCTCCTTTATCAATTAGAATATATTATAAAAGCCTCCTTCCAATAAAAACCAATTACTTTGCATTGTTTCTATACATTAAAAGGCCTCATCAGTCCTTCTGTTAGCTTGTCTCCATCTAGTATTCACAAAACTATTTAAGGAATATTTAAAATGCTTTGAATTTCATAGTAGTCAAGCCATTCTACTGATGTGTTGTTTACCGTGTTCCTTACCGGTAAAATGGTTAACTTTTCACCCAAAGGCAGAAGATTGCTCAGTCCTAAAGCTGAGGTTTTCTTAGGCATACAGAAGGATTCAGAAGGATTGACTCCAGAGGTATGGACTAGTCACTATCAGAATAATTGACATGCAGTGTATAGAAATTTAAAATCACACCAAGCCTAAAGACACTGGCCCTCTGCTCACCTTCAGAAAGTCTTTGTGATAACTGCAGTGGGTCATAAGTTTGTATTTCAATAAAACTAAACAATGCAAGAGCAGAATAATATTATTTCAGGAAATTTTGCTATCTATCTGCAACATACAGTATTCTTCTAACTATCTGCTGTTTTGTTTGCCATACTACTCAGACTGAGTACTTTCAGCAAAGCTGATTTCAACGGCAACGGCAAGGGTCATTGACTGCTGCAACTGCAATACTTGTTGCGACAGATTTTATTTTCCAAGAAATGTAAAACTCAGGTTAGGTAACAGGGATGTCTAGCTACACAACAGCTTTCCAGACACCTCTGTTTACAAAAGGTGCTTACTATTATCTTTCATAATAGTACCCAAACAATAACTAACCAACCCAGAAAAGAACTAAGGAATAGGTGAAAAATCCTTGAGTTACAAAACTGTGCTATACCAAGGCACTGTATTTAACCATCAGTATAAGGAAGAGAAGACATAAATGGATATTTGCTTTGTAAACTGAAATAATTTATTAGAAAAATCTAATCATATTAAATCTGTAGGATTCTGATAGATGTATTGAATAGATTCAACAAATATATATATAAAACTGTGATAGCTTGTAAGAAAAGTATTTTTTAATAATGTTAATAGATTTCTACTGTAATGAAACTGCAACAGTTGCCATGTCACTCATGACAGAATAGACATCACTAATACATTGTTTTATGTATGACTTGACTTCAGAAAGAGTGACAAGTTACTGGTTCTTGTTACAGTAACATCTGAATAACCTCCTTTGAGCATGACTGGCAAAGCTGAGTGAGCAGTTCCCTTCTCAATACAAATGAAAACTTAAGGATGTTTCCACAGTAAGTTCTTCAGTTTCATCAAGACAGCTTCAGTCCTTGAACATTTTGTTTCAGATTGAGCAACTCTTTTTCTTGCCTTGTTTTCTCCAATTTGAAGGCTAGCTTGTTGGCTTTCTTCTCCATTCTGCGTTCCTGTGCATACAAATAATCACAAATTTACAAACCAGGCATAAAACGCAAGAAGAAACCATTCCAACTAACAGTTCCAGATCACGAAAACAGCAGCAATCTCAACAATATTGTTATTTATGGCAATAATCATTAGCAGTCAAATTAACATGTGTACCACCAGCATTATCATCTTTAATTAACTGAATATGCTGGCAATTTCTGTCCCTAAATAAAACAGCTAGTATATCATTGTGGCCAACTACGTTTTCCACATTTCTTTCAGAGACTTTTCACTTTGTGTGATCTGAAACATCTGTTTTCTTTGCTTCCCTAGATAATAAGGAAATATGAGGGCTCCTTCTGAAGTTATATATGTAATAGTGGCCACAATAACAGACCAAAATTTCCATATAGGAAATTAGGATGACAAAATTATGAGGTTAACTTTCTTTCCAGTAATTTTTTTTTTTAAAGCAGCAATAATTAGTCCTTTGAGACCAGCAAGTTTTTCCCATTAATTTCCAGACACAAGAAAAAAGGAGCTTTAAAAAAAGTTCTTAAGACAGAATTCAGATAATATAACATGTTTTTGCAGGGTCTTATTTAAAACAAGGCGTACCCTTCGCTCCTCTTTTATTGCCTGTTTTCTAGCTTTCCGATCCTCTTTGCTTTCATCTTTGGAACGGGGCTGTGTTGATGCTCTTGGCAGGTCACTGATATTAATCATTTGCATGCGTTCAATCTGCTTAGCAGTAAGACCTTTCTGAGGCAAGATATGTAGGGGAATTCCGGTCTTCTGGGAAATTTTTATTGGTTTGGGCTAAAATAGAGAGCACATATGTATTAATGGTCCCTAGCTTTCTCTCCAAGAAGTGCACATCACACTGCCTTATCAGTATGAAAACAATACATTCAGATATTAACAGTAATAAAAGTTTAAGTCTCCTCATGCTATTTTCTTCCCCCGAAAAATGCACATTAATCCCAAAGTAAGAAATCAAATACACCTGTGAGCAGAATCTGGCCTCCCAGAACAAGAAGAAGTTTCTCTCTTATTTAAATATTACTGGGGGCGGGGGGGAAGTACTTAAGTAGGCACTTAATATTCCTTTATAAGCTTTCAAGAAAAAAAGTTTTTCTTGAGAAGAAAACCTTTCTTTTCTTGAAAAGAACACATCTGGAAGGTCAGGCTGTGCTCCAATGATGGGAAACGTCTAGAAGGACAAAGAACTACAATAAATTGTATCAAACTGTAGAAGGGAAAGACAAGCCTATTTTCAAGAAAAAAACCCTAATATGTGGTTGTGAGACAAAGATTACAAAGGTCTATCACAGATAACAAGAAAGTTCCTTGCTCTCTCTGTTTCTGTCTAGCTATTACAGAAATTTCGAACAGGGCTAACACCCTCTCCAACCCTCTTTTCTGTGCTCTCCTTCTTTCAAGGACAGATATCCATTGAGAAAAAAAATCATTTTTGTCTCAAATTTTCCCAAGCCAGGTTGTTACTCAGAATAAGTTTAATGATTTTTACCTTTGATGGCTCCTTAATAAGTGTTGGGTGGTTATACAGGTTTGAATATGTACCTAAGTCACGAAGAAAAAAAAAAAAAAGAAGAAAAAAGTAGTGAAGAAAGGCTTGCAAATAGAAATTAGGTAAATTTATTATTAATTGTACTACTATTTAGTCTTTGAAGATCTAAAATTGCAAGAATTAAGTTATCCACACAAAAGCAGTAGTTTTATCTGGCAAGAATTCCTGCTTTTTTTTTTGCTGTTGTGCTCCAGAATCATAAACCATTTTACCTAAAGCACAGTTAAAAAAGTGCTGAGATCACCTATCATTTGCTTTGAAATCCTAGGAACAAACAAGTGAACTCCAAAATACTTACTCAAAATGGATTCACAATCCCACTTTTCTTTTGGTTCCTCAATAACTACAGCTACTATTTCTTCCTTTTCTTCCTCACTTTCTGCATTCACAGAAGAGTCTAAATCTTCACAGGGTTCAAGAGCATCCAATTTCACACAGCTTTGAAGTACAGAGAAGAAAAAAACTAAGGTTTATCTTTTCTTTAAAATGTATAATTATGTAAAACCAGTCTCCCCTCAGTAGAGCCCCAAACCAAAGAAAGCTATTCCTAATGAAACTTGTAGCAAAAGAAAGTTTTCTTAAGTGAGCATCCCCAAAATAAACCAAAACATTAGGACAGGAGACATAGCTGTCAAAAGAAGTTTTTCTGCATTTCAAAATTATGTGGCACACAGTATTTGTGATTGGAGAGCAGGAAGAGAAGAGGATATACTTTTTAGTCTGTAAGCAAGGCAGCTCTAGAGGTGATTATGTACTCTGCTACTGACCAGTCATCCTTCACTACGAGGGACATGTTACCGTATCTTTCGAAACACAAGACTAATGTGACAACATTTAGCCATTTCACTTTGGGATATTATCACTTGCTTTAGGACAAAGTGAATATACTGTGGAAATGCAGTCTTACATAGATACAGGGTTACTTTATAAGCACTGATTTTTGCAGTGCTCAAGACAGTGGCACCCACGCAACAGTCGCCTGCAAGTTTATTAGCATGTAACTAGGTATGCAGAGGAATCAGCTGCATAGCAGCAGGACAGAATACACATGGCTACACAGTCTGTTAAAAGAAAAGAGTAAAGGTGTAAGGAGAAAGGTAAGTTACACTAAAAAAGGGGAAAAGGAGAATGCCTCTAGATATTACTTACACTGAATTCCATACAATTATACAAAAGGAGCATAATCTCACATAAACCAACAAACTGCCTCCGCTTCATTGCATCATCTCCTAAGTTAAGACCGACACTGTGACATTAAAAAAATGGGTAATACTCATACGTAGCTGCTTTTACTGTGGGATGTAATCTTCAAGTACATGAACTAGAAACAACATACCCAAACTTTCAATCTAAATACAGGATTACATAACTACTTATGTGAAGCGGTACTTCTGGGAATACATACTTCTTTGCTTTCTCTTTGTAGTAATCATTCAGGACTTCCTGCAACCGAGCATTGTCTGTGTTAATATAGCCTTCTAACTCCATGTTATCCAAGGCTCCGATTTCATCTTCATCAAACTGTTCAAAAAACTAAAATAAAGAAGTGGGTATCTGTAATTAGATCACATTTGTTGTGCAACTTCTTGATAGCTTAAAGAAGATCTACACATTTCTATTTGTTCCTTTTTCCTCTCCCCTCTTGGCACAGTG